TTCTTTCTTTCTTTCTTTCTTCTTCTTCTTTTCTCTTCTCTTCATTTTTCGTTCTTCTCGTCGTTGCTATGCTTCATTACCATGATGATGATGTTTTTCCTCTTTGATTCACACATACTCTTTACTCTGCCACATTCACATTGGATCTCTGTCTCTTCATTCCTTGTTGTTGTTGTTGTTGATTTTTCGTAAAAAATTCCTATGTGAAGTGCTGCCATTGCGGCCGTTGCCGTTGTTATTGCTTTTTATTGTGTGTACGTTTTTTTCCTTTTCTTTTTCTTGCTCTCAAAAATGCACATGAACGTATTTCGTTAGCATCGAGAAAAAAAACACACACAATAAGAACAACAACAAAACGTCCATTTGGAGGTAAAGGACGACGGCTCAAACGAATAAGAATGGAACAAAGAGACGAAACCAACCACAGCAGTATGTTTGGTATGCTCATATCTATAAGAAAAATGTTTCGAGATGAATCTGTAGATTATTTTATATTCACTTTTTTTTGCTCTCTCTTTCTCTCTACGCTTCGATTCCTTTATGCTTTCGATGTGTATTTGAGAGTATGATTGGTTTTGATGTTGCGCGGTTCGGTTCTGCCAACATCGATTGTGGTTTATTTGGAAGGTGTAGTACAACGTACTCCAATTCTGTTCATTTTACATTCGAAATACCACACTAAAACTGTTCACCGACTACGGAAATGTTCCGAATTTTTACTATACTATACTAGAGAGGCATCGAGAGAGTCTCTTTTTCCAAAAAGAGAGTTTTTGTTAGTGTGTGCTAGCGTTCAAAAGATTCACTCACATTTTTCGATTTTATATTTTTTTTAATGAAGACGATTTTTCTTTTCCTCTTGAAAGTTATCTCTTTCTCTCTGATTGAAAGGCTCTTCGTCGTTACAAATTTCCAGTCATTTGTTCCAACATAGTCTTTATCTTAAACGAAAGCTGATGAACTTTTGATCTAGGGAAAAAAGAATTAATTCAAATTAAAAATGCATCCATTCAGTTCGGTCATTGTTGTTGTTGTTCGCCGCTGCCGCTCATTAATTTCTTTTGGTGTTTTTGGTTTTAGTTGCGGCTTAAGCCAGCTTTTATCGATACACCAGTGAAAAAATGCTGAAAATTCTTTCGAGCAAACAAAAATGAAACAACAGCACAGATCCGGTTTAGTGAATTATATATTTTAGAAAGAAGCACAAAACAGACGTATTATCAACACACTCTGAATCGTTTATCGTCGTCTTCGTCGTCTTCGTCGTATCACTGGAAATTCTTGCGGCTAATAAAAGACAAAACGATTTTTCGCCTTAAAACCTTAAAATAAATTGTTATTCAAATCTTACTGAATCGCTTACTCTCTGAACACTGGAACTGTTCGGCCTGGCAGAGTGGTCAATTTGGGATGAGTGAGGTATATGTGGAAAAATTGCCATGTTCATACGAAACAAAAAATTGTTTGTATTTTTTTATGGCGTGAGTAAATTTATTGTTTGATAAATAAGTTTTGGAATGTGACTGGCCTTGACAAACAAACAGCGTGCCCTTCATGTTTGCTACCATTTTGCATTGGCTTCGTCAGCGCTGCGCGCCATGCATGCACATTCTGGGGGCTGGATCGATTAAATTATCGTGAAAATTACATGTTTCGCTTAGAATAGTGATTAGTTCGGTGGAAAGTGAGAGAGGCTATAAAATGGTACAATAAAAGTTAAGCTGCCAATTAGTCACTTATAATTGCATAATTTAAATACCCGACCAAATTTAAAGCAAACAAGAAATTAGCTTTTTTATGGTTTTATAGTCTCTTCCTCCATTGGCGTGCTGTTTCTTTAATAGCCAATCGAAGTTCAATGAGTGTACATGCACATTGATACCTACTACAAAAAGAGAGGCATATTAAGTTCGGTGTAGAGAAAAAAAACAAGAGTTTTATTATCTTGTGTATGCGTTGATGTGAATGTGCAGCGGGGATCGGTTTCGTTGAAATCGTTTATTTTGTTAGAAATATACGTCGACCATTTTCATGGGTTGAAGTTTGTGGTTTTTCGCTCGAAAATGCGCCAATTTTGCGAATTCACTGGCACAAAAATTGAGCAACTCGGACCACGTTTTCAATTTTCATACACAAAAAAAAAACAACAACAACGATGATTCGTATCATAATACTAATAAATTAAGAAACGAATAAAAATACACAAATACTTTTTATCCTCTCTGTGGCTGTCGTTCTGTGAGCTTGCTCATTATCATTCACATAATTTTTTTTCTCTTGTGTTTTTTTGTGTTTTTCTGTGTTTCTTCTTCGGTTTTTTTTTTCGTTATTAAGTTTTACATCGTTTTCTGGCCATTTGCTTCTTTCTCTCTCGCATTCTGATCAGCCACAGTTTTGAAATACGGCCACGTATCGGAATAGCTTCGCCGTTGCTTGTTGTTTCCTTCGTTAGAAGCTTCATTTCGACGCCATGCACTAGAGAGAGAGAGAGAGAGAGAGAGAGAGAGAGAGAGAGACACCACAGTTTAAATCTGGCAAATCTACAACAGAAACTCACTAAACACACATACCCACACCGTTGATAGTTTCTGATATTTTTCGTAGCTATTATTTTAATGTATATCTTTTCATATTAATTCGATGCATTAATATGAAAGCGCAACGGCAAATATAATATCACCAACAGAAGCAGTCTCAGCTTCAGATAGAATTCAGTTGAAATTCATAGTGTGATTAAGAAAATGGAAGACAGAAAAAAAACAGCGCAGTCAAGCGAGAGCTAATCTGTTCGGGCTGCCGAGAGAGAGAGAGAGAGAGAGAGAGAGAGGAATCATCGTTAATAAAATTTAATCGAAATGTGAATGTAATTAAATGTGTTATTTCTTCGGAATGTAATCGGTGAGTGATATTTTCTCGAGTGTAGTTATTTGATGATAGAATTTTTCGTGTATAGATGTGGTGGCTGCTTTGAATAAGTGTTGGGAATGAGTGTGTGAGAGCGCATAAGAGCGAATGAGAGCGCAGGCGATATTCATTTTACGCATTGGAGTTAGACTAACGTCGTCAGAAAGTGGGGAAACAAGTTTTCTAATAGATGATTTTTATATCGGATTTGGTGCTGATAATTTGTGTACAAAAGATGTGTGGATTATTTTTGTGCGTCGTTGAATTCGTTGTTTATTTTTCCATCGAACGAATCCATACTGAATCAATGGTTTGAGGTATATGACATTGAAAAATCGACATCTTCTAGTCCCATAAATGTCAATTAACACAGTATTCGACACTCGACGCGCGCGCTCCCGGCTGTGAATACTCAAAAAGAAGAACGGCAACGAGAGAAGAAAAAAAAACAACGCAAACAGACACTGAAGATCACTCTGGCGGTTACTGAGGTGACTATAAGTTGCCGCGAAAAATTCACCAAAAACACAGCATGCATTGCGCGCCCAACCGACCGACCAACACACACAAACCAAGCAAAAAATAAATAAAATAAGTTATGAAAAAATCGTACGGAAAAAACGTAGGACCAAGAGAAATGACAATTTACCCGCAAATATTTTTGTGTTTGATTCATTTTCGTTTGTTCATTCGCTGGTTTCTTCTCGTTTTTTTTCTCCGATGTGGCCGTGTGTGTCGAAATGGGCTTTAACTTGAGTACACACATCTCAAGCAGACGTCTCAAGAGAGTGAGAGATAGATAGAAAGAGAACATTGCAGCATTTTAAGCACCATCATAAATATTTGTTTAATCATGGCCTTTAGTTTGAATTTAATGGTTTTTTTCGTTGGTTCCTTTTTCAACGTGTTGTTGCTCTTTTTTTTCATACACAATTTACACCGCAAATGCATCTTGACTCGACAGAAGAAGAGAAGAAGAAAACCAACGAACAAAAAATGGCAGACAAACATTCCATTCCGGAGTGTTTTTTTTCGCTTCCTCTTGTGATGTTAGGTTTTGTGACGTTGATTTTCGACAATCGCATTTCAAATTTTTCAAAATCTAAAGGCATTTAGAGGCTCTGCCAATGGAAGCAATTGTTCGCCGTTTGCTTGATTTCTTTTATAAAAAGTGAAAATATTAATTTGGTTAGAAAATGGAGCTCTAGACCAACAACAACAAAAGAAGATGTTGAATGCTTAAAAAAACAAATCTACCAATAAAAAACGATTTCTTCACCATTCCCATTCGATTTGGTGCATAATTTTCCATTCTTGCGGTTTCGTTTTATTGACACATCCAAATTATTGCATTCTCGCTTGAATGCAACGTAAAAGAAAATACAATTCGCGAGAGTGAGAGAGAGCGCGAGGGAGGGAGGGAGAGAGAGTGGAAAAGAACGGGCAGAATGAAACCAATAATTTTGGTTTCTGCTACTGCGATAATGTTGCATTGATTTGAATAACATTTTGTGTGCATCGGTTGGTTGGCTTTGGTTTTGTTTGGCTGTGTGCTGTACGTAAACCGTGCAGTTATTCCATATCTGTAAGAGCGTGGCAAACCGCAGAAAAGTCATAAATTCATTGGAATCGAGGTCGAAAGAATACAGCAAATATGCGCAAAATAATATCAACATCGTAGCTATTTACGTATGAAAAAAAAATTCCAATGCAATATTTCTTCTTTTTTCATCGTCATTCGCGCGCGCGCACACACACACACACCAACCAAACGTTATCTTTATGTATTCCATCGATTTGGATGAAACTTTACAATGGGATAAAATATAAAACCCGTTAAAAAAAATGCTCAATATTTTCGATAACAGCTTGCATTTTGTGTGCTGAAACCCCAACTCACACAATGACAATTATTATTATGACTTGACATTTTGGATATTTTATAAAAATTGATGCACGCCGCATGCGTACGCGTCAATGTAGAAAGCCGGTTGTTCATTTTTCACATTAAAAGATACCAATTCCAATTGAAATGTTCTGCCATTTTTTTTTCTGTTGCATAATAAAACTAATAAAATGTGTATGTTTATTTGCAGGAACTATTTCTAGGAAGTATTTGCAGCTGGTAACAATGCAGCATGCGAGCTTTTTGCACCGTCAGCGCGCCCTTAGAGGTTTGCGCGCCACTAACGAGACCACTGTTACCAGGAAGCCGTTTTCTTGCTCTCAAGTATGCATATCATTGGTTTAATGTGATCTAAGCCATGGTTTAAAGTCTTCCATGAAAGCCATTGTTCAAAGTGTATCTGAACACCAGTCGGCTAATTTTTTCCCCTTTCTTTAACATTTACAGACTATTAGGAACTCCCCAGCCACGCACATTGTACTTTTTAGTCGAAGCAAAGAGTCGTGTTCGCGAAGTTTATACCCAAACATGTCTTCACTTTGCCAAACAAGGAATGCTCGACACCGAACTCTTCGGTCTGGCTGTTCTCATAGGTAAGCGATTCGATTGGTATCCGAATTATTCCAAGCCAATTTATGTAAATGGGAAACAATTGATAAGGCGCATGCAACGGTCGTTGAATATGTTAAATGGTTTCGCTTCATTTCACGTTTTATCCATGCATAAGTGAAAGAAATCGCAACGTTCTGAAATTCCACGACGTGTACAATTTAGCGATCATATTATTTGCTTTCCAAATAAATAAAAAAAATTGGAGAAGAAGACATGAATGGGTCGAATGTGTGTTTGGTGGATTCATTTCGTAAATTAGCATACCGGTGATTTGTGATTTCATTCTTTACAGATATATTGAAAAGAATTCTTCACTGTGCGAATTCCTTTCACGTCAAAGCAGTAGCTATATTTATATCGCCAACATATCAAAACTCTTCAAACTAACAAGAAACGATTTACGTGTAAGCATTCATTTAGGAAAACGAAGACTTTTGCTTTGTCTCTTTTCGCAGAAGAAAGAAAAAAATAGCAACAAAAACGAAAAAAAAAATTTCATTCGCGTATCGAGTCATACGAAATAACTACAACAACAACATATCGAGCCACGAAGATTGAACACAGATAACATTAATCAAAATGAATGATAAAATGATGCAAATGCTGAGATCAAATCAGTCGAAATGAATCAATAAAAGGCAGTGACCATACGTCAAAATGGAATTTCTGATTTGATTCAATGCTTTTCCCATACTCAGTCGATCAATGATGATGACGATGATTAAGGAGAAAGAAAACCAACAACAACAACTCTAATATTCGCTTGATGAACAAATCGTGCTACGCCGAATGCACGACACGATACGACAAAGAGAGAAAAATATTTGAAATATACTGGTGCACCAGCACAACACACACACACACACACACAAAAACCAACAATAATTGAATGGCCTGTCATTTATTTCGAGCCAAAACAACAGACCAACAAAAACGCAGCAGAGAGAAAACGCGACATGGAAAACATGAACAACAAAAACGAACAGAGAATAACACACCGAAAAGAAATCAATCAAACCAATTCTAAGGTACAGATGTACGGCTGTTGTTGCTGTTACTTTTTATTCTCTCCTGTCAACATTTTGATATACAAGAGAACATTCAAAGCGTAAACCATTTTTTCTGTGGGATATATCTAAACTTGATAGAGACGAGCGCGATACAAGCGGGGAAATGGGACACCAAACAATTTAATACAACGAGAGAGTGAGAGATGGAGAGAGAAAATGCATACAAACGCCATTTTAATCACGCGAGTTAGATGATCAAAATACATTTGACCTGGTATTTTGAGCTCAACGCTCGCCATACGGTCGCTTCATTCGTAGGCTCGTTTCCATTCGACGATTTTTTTTTATGCTCTCGCCAGCGATCGCATGCAGCTCCATTTTTTTCAGTTGTAATTATTTCAGATTACGGAGATTGAGTGAGTGCATACTGCATAGTCACTCTAAATCACACAATAAGCGCAAGCATTTAATGCACATATTTCAAGAACAGTACAATTCATATTCAAATGACCAAAACTATGTCGATCGATGATCTTTTTTTCGTTCCAATTCATGTTGCATGCTAAAATAATACCATTTTGACATGTAAACAAAAATTACTGCGTTTTTAATGCGACATTTTGCTCGGTCAAACCGGATAGAAGCAGAAAAACAGGACTGAAAATAAAATCAATAACTATTTTTTCGAAATAAAAATAACAACAACACATCGAAAAAATGAAAAGAGAAAGAAAAAAGTCCACATTTTTTCTCTCGACCACATTTTTTTTTCCTCCTGAAAGAAAGATTAAATGAAACATGCAAAGTTTATTAACAAAATCACAAGAACACATGAATGCACGAGATGCAAAAAGGAACAGAAAAAGGCTGCTAGCATATCTTTGAAGACGCTGAAAGCAAACGAACGAATGAATCAAATGGTGTGTGTTGCGCAATAACATAGGAAATACTCACGTATACACAAATACTCATCCTACGATCATAAAGAAAAATGATATTTTCTTGTGCACAACAGAACTGAAGAAAAAAAGAATAAAACGAAAACAACAAAATAAGATGAAAAAAGAGCATATAATCAACGTCAATGTCGTTTTATACGACGAATGCATTCTGTGTTCTACAACACGAGCGACAAATGCAGAGAAGAATGAGAAGAAGAAGAAGAAGAAAAAAGTTAGCGAGATGGTTAAACTGCATTCGAACCGAATCGGTCGGAATGAATGATGATGATAAAAAAAAGCGAGCGATCGAAGAGTGCAGCATGAAGAAGAAATTACCCATCTCATATATGTATATGAACAGGCCCACTCATTATATTCACTTTGTTGTACGCTCGCTTGCTCGTTGCTCTCAACCTCGAAGAACGCGCACATAAAACATACATACGTGAAGAGAGAGAGAGAGAGAGAGAGAGAGAGAGAGGGGAAAAAGCAGCAAGAGAAAGAAAAGTATTAAGCATGAACGCATTAAAATAAAAGACGTAAGACGCGTGTTTAGTAATTCAGGTAGCTGACACAAACTTAAGTCTCGTTTTCATTTTATTATTATTTTGGCATTAGTGTTGTTGTTTTTGCTTTATATATATTGTTTTTTTTTCATCATCATCTTCTTCATTCCTCTCTCTCTCTCTCTCTCTCTCTCTTGGGCCGCTTTCAGTCTCTTTTCTTTTGCCTCTCCGTGTGTCTCTCATTTCCTTCATTTCAATTTTTCTGATGCATACGATCATCTCGTGCAGGTATTCATTCGCTCGAAAACCGAGGAATTCGATTTATTCACTCATTTAACTTTATGTATGGAATTTGTTTTTTTCGATTTCCACTTTTTTGCATACCACCACGACCAAATTGGAATAAACCGAAATATTCTGGAAATAACATTCTTATTTGTTACGATACGATGTGGCTTCAAAAGGCGGATACACACAGATAGGCGACTGCAATTTCGAATCGTTAAGATGGATCATTTTAATTTACATCTACAATGTTTTTTTTTCTTTCTTCGTCTTAAATTGGCCCCAAGCCAACAGCTAATCTGTTTACTTCAGAGGCCATTAAACGTGGAGGGAAAAAAAAAGTTACGCACAAACATAACTCCTTTTTTTTAAATCAACGACATTTTGGATTAATATCTGTTTCGATGAAATGTCTTTTCAGAAGAAGTTTTAATACGTTCGTTGCTTTTTCTCTCTCTGCTGGTTACGATAAAAAAGGGCAAATTCTTTTGAACGAAACAAAAATGTTGGCATTAAAATTCTTATACCTTTAAGAAATATCTTTTTTTTTCGGGCGAGACCGAAGTCATTGCTCTTTCTCAATTGTTTCCCATTAAAATTAATTTTAAGTCGTTTTATTTTAAATATTAACGGTTGGCTCACAATCTCACAAATTTGGGTATTTATTCACTTTTTTTTGGTTGACATATCTGAAGATAAAGTGATTAATTTTTGTTTCTTCAACGCAACAATCAAAATAACAGAGAACCAAATTGGAGAAAAATAAAAAAAAAATCAATATGTGAACGATGTGAACGATTAAGAAATAAGAATAATTTGATAAACGAACGATTAACAAATTGATTTTATTCGTTTTTTTTATAGATGGCGAATACCTATTTGCCGATCCAGAAAGCAAATTATCGAAATATGGTCCGAAAAGTTGGCGCTCATCCCACACACACGTAAGTCATTAAGTCCATTTAGATTGGCATTCAATTCCAAAATTATGGCAAATTGGGTATATCAATTAATTTTATTCTTTCAATTTCTCTCCCCTCTCCCACTCTCTTTCTCTCTATTTATTGTTCTATTTCCAAATCCAGGGTCTGGATGCAAATGGTCGACCGTTGCTGGAGTTTCACTTTCGCGTACAATTCTACATCGAAAGCCCGTTAATGTTACGAGACGAAACATCACGTCACAATTACTACCTACAGCTCAAATCGAATACAGTTAATCAAGAGATCCCAAAAGAATGCTCCGAACAATCGTTGATACTGCTCGGAGCGCTTGCATTGCAAGCCGATTTTGGCGACTGTCCCGACGAAAGTAGCGACGATTATTTTAAATTAGACGATTATATACCAAGCAATTTACGAACGACATGGGGAGCGGCAGCATTGAAATCGTGCCATAAAGAGTATCGTGGCATGTCACGAGCTGATGCCGAAACCAATTATATCAAAGAATCGTGTGCACTGAACGATGCCATCAATGCGCACATATTCAAAATGAAATTAACAAAAAACGAAACCGGACCCGGATCAATATGGTTTGTTGTGTATGCAAAAGGCATCAAGATTTTCGGTGAGAATTTCCAAACGGCCAACTTTCTGTGGCCAAACATCAGTAAATTGTGCTTTGAGCGGAAGAAATTCGAAATTAAATACGGCGAACACAAAACCATACTTTATTCAATGTCCGACGTTAAGAATAAGAAATTATTTTCATTATGCAAGGAAACGCATCAGTTTTCAATGAAAATTGTAACGAGACTGAACGATGCCATACGTCGTGAAGAGGAGGAATGCAGTTCGATGCATGTGTGTGACATGTATTCGAGAGCATTGAATTTACCGTACAAAAATAAAGGCGATCAACGCATATCGGTGATTTCGAGCACGAGCTCGAACACAACGTCCGGAATTGTTAGTGATCGGGTGCATTCGGAGGATGAACTCGAAATTATGATCAATACACCGCCAGCTGCAAACATAGCGGCACCATCGACCGAAAGTTTAGCATTGGCACATTTGCTTGACAAACCGAGTGTTAGCCGACAGACGTCATCGGTGAGTCGAATGTCAATGAAAGAACTGGACGAGTCAATGAAACGATTGTCGACGCGTCCAATTGTTCGATCGGCGAGCAATGAATCAACACCCGAGCAACCAGAACGCAAAATGGAACAGTCCGAATCAGATTCACCGAATTCACAGCACAACATTGGTTCACAGTGTTCGTCCACTTGTAGTACAATTGTTGTGGCAACGGAAAGCAGTCCACAGCCAATAACAAGTTCATCGGATTCAAGGAGACAACCATCAACTTCAAGCAGCATGGAATTAGGGTTCAGTCATACAGCCCAAAATTCGGCGATCAGTGAATCGACGACAACATCCGTTGATGTTTCATACGGTACCAATACCATTGACGAAGAAGATATTTCGGGCGTTTACACACTGAACAATCCAGCACCAACTGAAACGAGTGGCGTGTACACAATGAGTAATAGCGAATTGACGGGTCATTCGTCGGAATTGGCCGAGTCAGAGAGTCATGAGAGTTCGTATTACGGCAGTTTTCAACCGAAGAGTGAGATGAACGAGTCATTGAACGTGGATTCGGTGGATGGAAATTTCAACCAATCAAGGAAAGAGAGTAGTGCGAATGATTTTCGAATGCGATCCGATTCGAATGTGAGTTCGACATCATTTCGGGGCGACGGTAGTGATCCAACGGATAAGAAGCAAACTCTGTTGAGTGCTGAGGAATTGACCGACCTAATCGTTGGCCGAGGATCGTATCCATCACGTAAAACCGTTAGCAATACGTTGGATTCCGATTGTGACTATGTCACTATGCCATTGCCACTGAAGGAGGGTGAAAGTTTTTTGCCCGGTCACGAAGATACTGCCCCATCAGATGATACATTCGACGTTGATTTGTTGTCATCAAACCCACCGCCGCCTCCGGTTCGAATCGACAGCAATACGCATCGTGCATTTGCCGGTATGATGAGCACAAATCGAGCCATGCCGCCACCACCCTACAATGCACACCATAAAATTACATCAGTGGCCACGAATGTGGTCGAACAACATGATGAAATACCTGCGATACCTGCCCGCGATCCACCACCATATTCACAGCAACCGAACCGTGTGCTGGTGAGCTCAACATCGAATCTATCCACTTCAGCACCATCCGTTTCATCTCAAACGAGTCAACCAGAAGAAGCGGCAGCTCGGTTCATTACGACGAGACCGCAAATCAACATTTTAAAAGCCCATACCAGTTTAGTGGGTGAGAATCAATTGCCAAAACCGAGCTATGCTGCACCAACAATTCCGCCGCCCGTCATTCCACAAGTACCGCACAGTGCATCACAAAATCTCTTAGCCACACCGCATTCCATTGGCATTCCAGTCGGTCCGTACAACATAAGCAGCGTTCATAAAAACCATTTGTCAAACATTTCGTCACCGTATCCAGAGGTGAAAACGACAGCACAAACACCACGAGCTTGTGTTCTTTTACCAGTTATCAAACCAGCTAGACAATACATTCCTCCGCCGCCATCATTGCCTCGCCAACCACCACCTCCACCACCAGCACAACTCGCAACCGTCTACACCAGTCAATTGGCACAGTCGCAAATTGAATTGTACCAAAAACAGCTGTACGATAGGTAGGTTATTGCATTGACAGTAAGTCTATCACGTGATTTCAATGACAATTCAGTCAATATAACAAATTAGTTGGGTTATGAATCATAACCACTGTGATGATGTGTATCATGACTTATGTAGGATTGTTTCTGTTTGAAAAACAAATTACATTTTTTATTTCCTCCATTTATATTCATTTCAATAACAAATTCAATGTTTTTTTCATTTCCATTCATAGTTGCGATTATGTCATTTACCCGTTGCAAGATCCGGCAATCAGCCAACAAGAGTACTTGGATGCGAAACAAGGTTCAATAATAGCAGCAATGGCACAGAGCACAGCTGCTATTCCACCACCGTATTTTATTCATGCGAACCATGGCACCTGGGATGCGTACAAAGGTCATGCCATTTATCGTAGCACGCCATACCTATCAATGGCCTATTCAACGCATTCGCATTATGCATCGACGCAAAATCTGTCTGACACTTATGTTCAATTGCCATCTGGTGCCTATTCACCGCTTTATAGCCCATCCATAGCTAGCTTATGCTCGTCGTATGATGCACCACCGCCGATACCACTACGGCCCCGACCGATGGCAACAGCAACAATGTTTGCGCGATCCAAATCAGATGACAACATTTTGAATTCCATTGAAACGCTGCCAAAAGCAAAACGACTACCTCCTCCGCCTCCACCATATCACAAGAAATCGATTAAGCCGCCAATGCCGCCGCCCATCGAAGAACAAATGGCCATACCATCAGCACGTAAGTGGAATTTAAACACGTTTTTATTTCTTATTCATTTTTTGGGCATTTTTCTCATGAAATTCATTTCAATTGCAGCAATAATTCAAAAGCCACGGCTTCCAGCGCAACCAATCACAACGACCTTGCCACGAACCAATGCATCGATGAAGTTAGCCACACATATGCCGGTCAAAACCGTAACAAATTCTACGTCAACAATAGCACCAGCAACGCCGATTGACATAAATGTGTTACGCGAGCATAGCAAGCACTTGGATTTGCCATTGATATCAGCCTTGTGCAACGATCGTTCTCTGTTGAAACAAACAGCGTTTGTGATGCCAAAGCATCCGTCGTCGAATGTTAAACAGAACACGCTGCAGATGTCAAAGGGAAAATATCCAGTGTCCGGCTTGAGTACAACTCAGCTCAATAAATCTCGACCGAAGACATCGATAAGTCATCGTCATCCAAGCGATAAATTACCACCCTTGCCGACCACTTCCGTCATGCAAAACAACTATGTCATGGATCCAGCCATGAAACACAAGAATTTCAGTTCGCAACCGAACCTTAAACAAGCATAAAGAAAATGTATAACAAAATGACAATTGCAAATTGAATAAAATAATTTCCTTGTCACTCCAAGAGGATGAGCTAGTAATAGGAGATTAACAGAAAAGTCGCTCTTTCTTTGTATTTAATTGAGACAGAAGAAAAAAATTGAATAGAAAAACGCAACGTGCCTTTCTATATAGTAAATAAGCGAGATGAGATGAAGAAATACAATTCCATTAATTTAAAATGGCCATCGACAAGTTTTATTAGGACAAAAGAATTCGACACGGACCGTTAAAATTTTATTTTCGTTTAAATTAAGTAGAATTCGTTTTTATACTCTAAATGGAAGTTCAAGACAAGATAAATTAGAAAATTCTATTTGTAGAATGTTAAATGTTTTAATTAATACACCGACACGGCTTCACAGGAATTTACAGCTTATGTTTATAAATTATTTTAGAGAATCGGATAAGAAATAAACTGAATTGGAAACATATATTATGTTTTCACACGTGGAATCGGAGAATTAAGAAAATAGACCGGTGTGTTTGTCACTTCGTAGGCATTTCGATTTAATCCCCTAGAATTTAAGCAGTATTGTTGTGTGAAGCAATGAAATATGAATGAGAAAAAAAAATTGAAAATAAAATTGAAACAAAAACAAAATCGTTAGGTATAAGCAGAATGAATATTCGATTCTCTCTATTAGTGACATATTTGTAAAGTTGTATTTTGCAAACTATTTTTTCTCCCAATTTCTTTCTAATTTTGACAATTTTCTGAACAAGAACAACTGATATACGATTATAAGGCTAATTTTCATTTTAATTTTATTTAGACGAAGAAAAAAAAGCGTTTATCAATTGCTGACACACGCCAATTTCGAAGCAATTGCTCAATCTCCTATATACTGGTTTTGAATGTTCAAAACACAAAATTTGCCAGATTTATGAAAAAAAAACAAACGAAAAAAAATTGAATAAACAATTCAAGCTAGTTTTATGACATTGTATTTGAATTTTAATTAGTTCCGAATAATAAATTGATTTAAACAAAACAAAAGCATGCTTAAACACACAGATTTTTCTTTTCGTTAGCATTGACATTTCAGGGTCAATTTAGAGGTCACGTGTCAAGCGGTAAGTATACAGTCCACGCAGCCCACATAGTGTGGATGATATTTCATTGAGGTGGAAAGAAAATTTCGATCCGAAAAATTGAATTTTCGTTTTTTTTTCTGGAAAATACTTACACTTCTTCTTCAATCTGCTGACATTTTATTCATGCTATAAAGTATTCACAATATGAACATTTTCAAATCTATAAGAATGAGAAAAACAATTATGGCAAGAAAAAAAAAATCGGAGCAATCAAAAAACCACAATTATATTTTGGCATTCAATGCAAAATTGAATTTTCTTCAAATTTTATTTATTAAAAATGATCTAAATTTTTATTACATCAAATTGTAGTCATTCAACAATCGACTCAAAAAAAAAAAATAACATGAATTTATTTCCATTTGAAAATGTGCAAATAAATTCGGTGAAATAAATTTGTATTTGTTGTTGTTTTTCATCTTCTAAAAATCTACGAGTTTTCAAGCATGTGAGAGCTTGAATTTCTTTTTACATTCCATCACATTATTTATCAAGCTTGACGATGATCGTTTGACTCGGTCCAATTTCAAATTGTTTAAAATAGATTTTCTCTTGTACTTTGTCGCCAAGCATAATTTGGCCACTGTAAAAGTAGTTGGTTAAATCGAGTGATATTTTGTTATTGCCAAAATTGGATATTGATACAAATGTATTTCGTCTTGGATACCATCGCATTAGTATCAAAATATTGCCATTCTCATGAAACATTGCTGATGTATTTGATTCGTATTTTCCTTTTTTTTTGATGATATTTTTGTAGATGGACGGCGAGATGTCGCGCAATGAAATCATTCGGGCAATCGTATCAAAATCATCGGCACTGATGCGTACCGAATGGTTTAGACCATGATCAGTGACCTGGGGCACTGTATTCCAAACCATTCCTTGTAGGCGATGCATATGTTTCGAATCAATAGGTTCGCTGAAATGTTGGCGCGAGCTCTGTTCAGTGGTACCGTCGCCATGATAAATATTCGGCGAACCAGGTAGCATGAGTGACATTAGTGTGGCAGCCAAAGTACCATTGGTGGTTAGCTCGTACGATTTGTGCGTTTGTTGTTCAGATATGCCGCCGATACTCCATTGAATATAGGCTCCATTGCCTGGTTTCAGTGGCCCACTCAATTTTTGATTGATTTGTTGTGCAATTTGTTTTGTGCCATTGGTGACATCGATGAAAATGTCAACCAAATCCACATTCCTTACAATATCCTCAGCAATTGGCCGGTCAACATTCTCAAGCAACTGATTGTTGACCATTAGAATTCGATTTGAACCGATCAATGCCTTCCAAGCACGAATATTATCCACAAGCAACGGATCATCGTGCAAGTATTCCAAGCCTTTGATGTAAAATCCATCGATGCCGCATTTCATCCAAAGCAAAAGTGCCTGAACAACGATATTTTTTTCACTCGATGCTCGTGCCACTCGAAGTGCACCTTCGTCCATAATCATCGGATGTTTTGTGCTCTCTTCAATAATGGTCACCACTGGCTCGAGCTTTGTCAAGAATGGATAAATCGGCAAATCAAGAATCAGCGACAGATTGTTATTGTGAAATGCTCTGACCAATGTTTTCAGGTCTTCTGCCGAGCCGAGCACCTCATCGATTGCAAAAAGTGTGGTTACATTTTGGAAATGTTCCGGTTGATTTTTCGATGGGAAAATTGAATTCAAGCGGACACCAACCACGCCCAGTTTGGTCAAGTAGTCAACACGATGCGCCAAACCACGCAAATCACCAAAACCATCAATATTTGAGTCTGGGAATCGTGCCGGGTGGATTTCGTAGAAAACACTCCCTTCATACCATACGGTTCTGAAAGAAAATCATTGAAATTAATGTATTTTTATAACAAAAATTTTTTTTGAAAATAAACTGGTCTTTGAAACATAACCAAAAATATGCGAAAAATACATATTTCACTGCATGTCTCTAAAGCATGCTTGCGCTTCAATAACAACAATGACATTCTAATCAAGCAATCATAATAACGTGTGACGTTTGATAATTTTGACATTTCGTTGCAAAAAAACAGCTACTCACTTTGGATTGCAGGTTTTTGGCAATGAATAAATTAATGAGACGACCGTGGCAACAATAGCAACGACACCAGCAACAAAAAAGAGAAATGAGCATTGGCGAATCAATTTCCAATTCCAGTATACGAATGATGGTACGTCTTTGCTGTCGGGTAAGTTCAAATGTGCGTGCAATTGCGTTTCGCTTTCTGGCATAACCTCACCATTTTTGCCCAGGTGCTGATAGACATTTGGATTGAATACGGTCGTTGTGCCAGCCACTACTTGTCCTTCAATGCAACCGGAGCTGCCCGAGCATGAGCTGGTTTCCTCTTCGGCTGCCCTTGGATCATCATTGACAAAATCGTCTCCTTGTTGCGAGCAGTTTTCGTTGAGAATATTCGGAGTGAGTGGATCGTTGAAATTCATTGGCGGTGGAGGAGATGGTGTGTTCGGTAGCAGGAGACAGGTTGATGCATCTTCTTCGGGTAAAAACGTCGAACACGATGGTGATGTATTCAACGATGGTGACAAATTCACACCCAAAAGTGGTGTTTTATTCGTGGGTATCTCTAAATTACTCATATCTTTTTTTATGTATCTACACTTTTCACACTTGTTGACGTTCGATTAAAAGATTTTCTCTTGTTTTTCAGCCTGATTAAGGAAATCACATCGCCAGACACACATTAAAAACGGTTTGGCTGCATTGAGTTCTATTTATAAACTGTCGCCAATCGTACGGTCAGCATTGGACGACACCAACTCTCACATTTGTCTCTCTCTCTCTCTTACTCTCACTTTAATATGTTTGTGTGTGTCTCTTTTCAACGTTTCGTTTCGATTGAACGTAAATTCCAATTAATTGATTTTGATTATATTCGCTTGCACATATGGTTTGAATTCACACACTGGTCGATATATTTCAAAGCTGATAATATCAATTGTTGCGTCTCCACAAGCACATCACATTCGCCCAACTACGAGTGAATGACGTCGTATAATATTGACTGTGAATTGAATCGAATCATCAATTGGATGTCGCGGCACAACAGAAACCCCTTCGGTTTTAATTGAATCGTTTGCCAAATGATTAGCGATGTTTATTAAACAAACTTATCGTGAACAGCAACACCAAAAACAAACTAAAAATTAACTTTTTGTATGGAATCTTTTTTCCTTCCACTATATATATACATTCAATTTGTATGAGAGATTCGAGGGAATTTGACATGTACGAAATAGCTGCGACGTGTCTACGTGAAGGTTTGAAGAGGACTTTTCAACGTCGCATATCATACATTGGGGGACCATATACATGAGAGAAAACGATAAAATGTGGTTCAAGCTTATGTCAAACTACACTGTAATTTGCGTATGTTGAGAGAAAAAAATGGCACATGCGCACCACACTCCTCTAATTTGGTTTGACATTCCTCATACACCAAGCTGGCATAGCGGACAATGTGTGTGGAAAATACACGAAGTCAAAACAACACCGAACGTACAGTGACCGTTTACAACATGCATTCGCTAATGTTTACAGTCATGATGTGTGTATCTCGGTTTCTCCTCTCTTCGTGAACGGAATGGACTTTTCGCCCGACCCATTCACAATAGCTCGATTGATAAGACTGTTGATGCTATTGCTACTACTTTTTGTAACCCGAATGAAAATTCGTGATTACAACGGATTTTCGATGAAATCATTCTTGTTGTGCGCTTGTTTTGATTGTTGTTTTTTTCGCGCGTAAATTATCTCATGTATGATTTTGTTTATACAACAAAAGGGGCACAAACAATTTACATTTCACCAACGGTGTAAATTTTATTGTATGCACGACGTACGCAAAAGTTGGATATAGAACAAAAAACCGACCAGTATTTATTGAATTTGTTTATTTCATTCATATTGATTCATTTATATTGATTCAATCGGGTCTTTCACCCGGTCCAATTTGATTATCGTCACGTTTTTCGATTTTTTATTGTGTTCCACTTTCAGGACACTCTATTCCCAGCACCATTTTTTTTTCTTCGTCGCCTTTGGAATAATCTAGAATCAAGTAGCCTATCCACCAATTTTTTTTTTGTTGGGTTATCAGTGTCCGCTGATGATGTATCACGTTTTTTGTTTTTTTCTTCTATTTGTTCATCAAACGAAATTTGACTTTTGTTTACATTCAATCTGAAAACTTTCCAAGTCTCTTGAATTCCGACTTCGAACACAATTTACCATTGAGTTTCGTATGCTAAATCACAATATTGTGGTGCGTATTTTAATACGCGTGTAAATAAATGATTTACAAGCTAATATGTATGTTGAAAACGTGTGTGATCGTAGATTGACGTTGCCCAAACTAATCTACCGACTGTTTGAACAAAACCAAATAGATTGTGGACCAAAAAAGTTTTTTCTTCTGCTTCGAACAAAATTATTTCATAAATATTTTGAATGAATTGACGTCGACAATAATTCTTGATGAGAGAATGTTTTTGTCACTGCTTTTCGAAACGGATCCCAACGCTTGTTTTCAAATCGACGGAAAAAGTTTAAATTTTTCCTAAAAAAATTTATTGATTGTAAAATTCTGCTAGTCACTCGTTTCCAAGTGCTTGCAATCGCTCTGAAACTATTTCCAATGAAAATTCTATTATTCCAATGGAAATTAAAATCCATGCCATAAAGATAGATTCATACAAGATTACCAGCAATCGAAATAGTTTTTGGGAGAAGAAAGTGGAGTGCAGTTTGAATGAATTTATTCTCAATTCCTTTTTGCGACACCGTAATGCGATAAAGAGTGTGTATTGCAAAGGGAAAAAAGCGTTGGAACTGTCGTTACGTTGATTTGGTTCGGTTCGGTTTATGGGCCGATTCATATTTATCTGTGTGACCCGTCTTTGCTGATAACCTCTCTATCTCAATGTAATTATCTAGCGCACGAAGATTCAATTCGACAATTCACACTTTCGAGCTCATTTTCAAGTATAGACTCGCACAAGTCAGTTCAATTTTTGGAAACAGATTCGTTTTCAAGCGGATTAACTACGAATTAGTTTGTGCATCATTGATTGAAATCATAATATTGGATCAATCATCAGAGACGCTCTATTTTTTCTTCTTCAAACTTAATATTAAAGTAGCGATCTCTTTGTTTTGTGACGAATTTTCCGCATATATATTTCTGCGCATTTGAGTCAAAAAATTAATCACATCTCGGAACGACAAGTGTTAAATGCTCATTTTTAGTTTAGCGCCAAAAATACCAGTTGTATTCGTGTAAGCGCTTTTTATTTGAAGTAAAACCCCATGGAATATGTTCTTTTAACCACGAACATAAGTTTCCTTTTGGATTACCGTCTGAGCTATCGTGCTGGTAAAGTTAAATCGATTGGAGGAGCCGTGTGATACAGATTGAATACAGTTTATTTGAAGGTAATTGCATTTTTCTCATTGGAACTGTAGAATACAAAGAAAGAGAATAGAAAATTAAGTAAAAACAATTGAAAACTAATGGAAAAACTAGGAGAAAAAGAGGCAAAATTAAAAAGGAAAAAAAAAATACAAAATAATAAAAAAACACATAGAATCGAATTCAGTCAAGTGAATGCAAAAAATTAAATTAAAAACAAAAAAACTTTCCTGTCCAGCCAAACTTGGGCAAAGTTATTGACCCTTCAGTGATGATGCGCCGTTTCATTGATATGAGCGATCGTGCATTTTGTTATCAGTGCAAACATTTTGTGGCACTAGAATTTGCACCAGATTGTGATGTATTGAATGATCGCAACATAACCATGAGCACGCAAGTGCAACAATTTTCGTATATTTCTCCTTCTTCCTTTCTATATAATTCATACTAAATGCCACCATCAAAGTGTGTTTCGAAATAACGTCCCATTGCGAATTGATTGAATTTGATTTGAATTAAAGCGGATTTCTTGTTCATCATTTCCTGCTGATTCAGCGAAAAAAAACTTCCATTTGTTCAGAAATAATTTTGAATGATGTATAGAAATTGCGATTGTTTGGTTAGTTGGTGATAAAAATAGAGTGGAAAGTCCTTGCACACAACTGGGAACTGACACGTGAGATTGTCCATGTAGCGTTTTTTCAATGATAGTGAGAATGCTTATCGCACTGGAACGATTCGTAGAAGAAGAAGAAAGAAGTCTCAATCAAACATCATTTCTTCAAATGTGTGCATTGAATGAAACATGCCATTATCATGAATCTAACGGTTTTTATTTGATTGCATTTCAGGCTGATTCCATATTGCTTAAATCCAAGAGTTTCATTTGACGAGTGATTGGATTTTGTTATACACGCGTGATTGCAAGAGTGCCGAACTAAACCAATTAAAGTGCAGTCTGAGCAGGACTGAGGAAAGGTGACCGAAATTGTCAGAGAGACAAGGGAGGACCAAGAGAGGCACGGAGAGAGGATTTATATTTTCGAGCCACAAGAAAACAAGTCAGTGATCAAAGATGTCTGCAGTGGATTTTGTAGCCGGTTGCTTAGGAGGTAAAATAGTCGAGCCTACTTTTTAAGTTTATTGTCTCCAATCGTCTAACGACCCGTTATTCCGTGCGCCCATTTGTTGCTCAAAATATACTCGATACTCACAGAGATAACGACTGATTTTTTTCCTTCCGTCGCTTCAAATTTTCCAAAGTAAAGAGAGATTATTCATTGCTTACATGGCGAATAATTTTGTTTTGAGATTTATATCACGTGCATGTCTCATGGCTGTCCGTTCATGGACGCTATGCATGTGTGTAACAAATCTCAAAGCGGCTAAACATAAAGGTTATCTCTGTGTGACCAGTTGGATTTGAAGTAATTTAACGAATGAATTTAACAAATTTTGTCTAAACGAGTTTTTTTTTTCTGTTGTTGTTTTTCTTTTAAATCATCAAACAGGATGCGCTGGATTAATTGTTGGTCATCCATTCGATACGATAAAAGTGCATATGCAAACGCAAGACCCGAAAAATCCAAAATATCGTGGTGCATTCCATTGCCTTAAATCACTAATGGCCAAAGAGTCGTTTCGTGGTTTGTACCGAGGAATGTCCAGCCCAATGGTTGGTGTGAGTGCGATAAATGCTATTGTTTTCGGTGTTTATGGCAATGTTCAACGAGTGTCATCAAACCCAGATTCGTATATGTCCCACTTTTTGGCTGGTTCCGTAGCCGGCTTTGCGCAGAGTATCATTTGTTCGCCGATGGAGTTGGCGAAAACACAACTACAATTGCAAACACACAAACTTGGTGCAGCTAAATTCAACGGGCCGACGCAGTGCTTATCATATGTTTATCAGTGTGAGGGAGTTAGAGGTATGTTTCGTGGCCTTGGCTGTACTGCTGCTCGTGATGTGCCCGGTTTTGCGTCGTACTTTGTGTCTTACGAATTTTTGATGAGATTAAAAAACGAACCCGGTATCTTGTATACATTGTTTGCCGGTGGTACTGCTGGTGCCTTCTCATGGATGTTTACCATTCCGATCGATGTTGTGAAATCGAGACTGCAAGCTGATGGAATGAGCGGTGAACGAAAAATGTACGACGGCATGGTGGACTGCTTTCGAAAGAGTTACCAAACTGAAGGAAGTGCATTTTTGACCCGAGGTTTGAGTTCAACATTGCTTCGTGCTTTCCCAATGAACGCCGTTTGTTTCCTTGTTGTATCGGAAACACTCAAATACTGGCAAAATCACAACACCCATTCCACTAAAACGACCGTAAAGCAAACAAAACAAATAAATGCGGCACACGATCACTGGGATTGGGAACATAAAAGAAGAATAATGCAAGGATTTTTACACTTTGGCGCCGCATTTAGCGATGCCATTTGTACATCTGAAATCATGGAAGTTGCCCACGATTGGTACGACAACAATAAAATCTATTTCAGTAACAATCAAATCAGCTTCAATACAAATTATGAAAAATACCTGGAATCATGAATTCTTTAAGGTTTCAATTTGGAATTTGAAAAAATCATCAAGCCACTATTTCCAAGAAACACGATCGTGCACGATTACAATCTGGGTCGATTGGAGTTTTTGCTTTTACTTTTGAACCAATGAATGTAATTTAAAAAAAAAATTATATTTTTTGAAAGGTGGAATCTATTAAGTGGTTTTGAAAAATATGGCAAAAATGCTGAAAAACGTTCAAGATCGTAGCACGATTCGCGAATGTAATCGTGCACTATCGTTTTTCTTGGAAAAGATGCCTCCAGGAACTTAGGTTTTAATTATATGAATTTCGGAATTTCCATAGGATCGAATGCTTAAATTAAGTATTCTGACGAATTTTCGTAAATTTTGTGACCATTTTGGGAATCAACTAATATCGTCTGTCATTTTGACAATAAAATAAACACAATAAAATTGTAAACATTTACGCTTATTAAAAATTTTTATAAAATGAATAAAACGATTTTTTTTATAATGAAAACATTTTTTTATTTTTACAATTTTCATCGCGTCATAAGTAAATTATTTTGTTTCTTGAAATAAAAATGACAGAGCAAGAACGCTTTCATTTGGAATCTGCGTTTATTTTTGTATATTCCGTATTACTTTCGACTTGAACTTACATCAACTCTCATCAACTTTTGCTGTGCAAAATGGAAAATGCGCATTAAAATGGTTGTACGTATTATATTAATAGATAAGCACCATTCTAAAATGCTTTCAGTTTTCTACGGAATTGATAACCTTTGCCTACTTATTATGGGAGTCAAATGCATTTATAGCTGCGATTATGTATTCATTGATTGGAATAACCATTGAAATGAAATGAAGGGGTTTGTTTTTCAAATAATTATGTTGTTTTCATGATCTCTTTCTACCTTCACCACCTATACCCAATGAACACATGTAATGCTAAATGTTTGAATTTTGTGCATATTTTAATGTAATGCTAAATGTAGCACTAAAAGTGCAAAAATTGTGAAATTTTTGGACCTATTTAGATAAAATTTTGTTTCTGGGCACAATATGTGTAAGAATTGTGCACGATTTGGGAATAAATCTACTATGCACAATAATTGCACGTGTTTGGCTCATTGGGTACAGAACAATATTTATGAAAAATGCTCATATTCAGCTGTCATCAATGTTGTTATAGGAAATAATGTGTTTATTGACAAAAGTGGTTAATTGTCTACTAAATAATGTGAGTACAAATATTTTGATGCCTATGACAATGTCGCAAAACGACGGAAAAAGGAATGAATACACATATAAACAACTTTAATGCTTATTCGATAGATTTTGTTTAATATCAATAAATATACTGTGTAAATAAAAGTGTACTTGTCCGACGGCGCTCAATTCATGCTTGGCATGAAGGAGGAAATGTCTATCGGTTAATTCGATTAATTTCACTTTGAACGACATACTTGGTGTGGTCAAACAGAAATAAAAACAATAATTGCACTGCAGGATATTGAATCAAGTCACGCAGTTCACCTGTGACCATATGAGCGAATGTATCGTAGTTCGTGTATTTCCTGTGTTGGATATTTTTTCAAAAGTGTTTTGTTCTAAATGTGTTTTCGAAGCTATTGACTAAATTCTTATTTGTTGTGATTCAATCATGGAGATTCAAGATAGTTCATTGCCTGGATTTTATTTAAGTCGAGTACTTGGAATGGCACCATACCTTATAAAAAAGAACGACAAAAATCGTGTGAATGACATTCGACGATCGACATGGCTATGTCTGTATAGCATTTGTTTTATGACCGCCACAGGTAAATTTATGGCAAAAGCATTGCATGAAAATGGAATATCTTCAAATGTGAATTTACTGTGATTTTAATCATTTTTTCCTGCAATTCTTCTCTCTCAAATTTCATATCAAAACAGTTAGTATGACCGTTCGGTTTATATTCGTTGATGCCGATTCAAAAACACCAATTCGGTAAGTTTATCTACCATCGAAGGGAAAAGAAGTAGTAAATAATTGTTCAAAATGGAAAAATCAATAAACTCTAAAAAAAATTAAAAATAAGTGTGATAATTCATACAAATTGATTTATTAGGATGAGAACAGCTACATCAAAATTCGTGACTGTGTTTGATGTATGTGTTGTAGTTGGTGCGTGTGTTTGCGGTGCAATAACCGGACTAATTGGACGGAAATGGATTTCGAGAATCAACGACAATCTCAGAAAAGTACATTCAATTTAGGCTCTTATGCGAAAGTTCAATTGAGTAAATTTAAAAGAGATTTAACTTTTTATTGATATTCGAAAAAAAAATTAGGCTGATGACGAACTGACCCTATTTAATGATCAATGGAAAGACAAAAAACGGAATCTAATAATGGTGGTGCTTGTTTTCTTGTCTATGACTGGTATGATTGTTTTGGATATCATATCGAAGTGGCGAAGTGCAAAAAATTTGCAAATAAAAATGACCAAAGGAGGCCAAGGTATGACATTTAAACTTGATTGGAAATCTGATTTCATGAAAATTTTCCATGTGAAATTCATATAATGACTTGAAAAAAAAAAATCATTTTTGCCATCACTTTATTAGCTGGCCCCTTTCCCCATATTTGAAACTATATCCTTTCCCACATATTTCTAGCCACTAGTGACATTCGCATCGAAACTTACTTCCCATTTTATGTGCTATATTACATTTTGATGGCTTTACATACGCAATTGGCTCAAACGGCACTTGGCATCCAACGGCGATATCATCGACTGAATCTAGCGATTCGCAACATATTTTCATTGAGTAAATGGACTTTAATCATATTTAATTCATTAATCCAAATATCAAATGTTCTAAACTTAGAAAAATTACTGGAATCGGCGTCTCATGCGAAAGCAAACAAAGTGGATGTTCAAAACACCACCGAACCAGCACCTACAATGGAAACAAACGAAAATATTCTACCTGGATCAAATATTAATGTGCCCGTCAAGCCAATCGCAAAAATAACAACCCTATCGCGTGCACCGTCAGATGAAAATCACATAGCGCCAATATTCGGTACGGGCAAATACTCAGCGTCTCTATCAACAACGACATATGGTTTCTCATTTTTGAATAATTTAACAATTTAATTGTCTGATTAAGCGATTAAATTCGATTTAAAGCTTGTTTTCATTCCAACTTCAAGGTAAACTAACCGGAGCGGTAGCATTGACACGAGCTAGCTTCTTTTTAGATCGACTTTCATACACACACGCCATTCTAGGTGAAACGGTGACAATAATATCGAGGTGAGCGGAAAACATCTATTTTACGGTTGTTTTTTTTTCCAAGATTTTTCATTTCGTTTTCAATCGGAAAAGGGTGTTTGGACTCACATTACTTGTAATGTTGGCTTCATGTCTGCTGCACCTTGTCGCTACCAGCTATTTCTTATTCTTTGAACTGCTAAATGAACCGGTATTTATTTGCACAGGAATTGCAAATGCAATTCTTTTTCAATTATTGAATGTTTCTTTTCCATTGTTAGGATATGTTTGTTGCAAGCTTGCAACTGCTATGGTGCTGTTTCCATCTATCGCGACTACTTCTCATTGTGGAACCGTGTCATATGGTATCTTTTATATATGTTTGTTGGTTTCAATCAATTAATTTATATTTTAAAATTCAGTACGAAAGCATTAATTTAAAATAAAAAAATTTGTTTTTAAAATATTTGACAGGCAACAACTGAGGTGAGCTGCGAACAATGTATTTCCCAAGCATATACCCAATCAAAATAACTTTCCATTAATAATGGCTTTATTATTATACTAACTGTGGTTTTCTTCTCTTGTTTGCAATCCACTTATCATTTACGAATTGACATTTAGGCTAGAAAAACAATCATCATTGTTTGTGAAGTGCTAAGAAACTGTAAGGACAGTTCCGTTGAACCAATAGTAAGTTGGCATACATATTCGAAATATTTTGATGCTTTTTCATTCGTATTTGTAACCGAATAGCTTCAGCGTTTCTGGCGTCAATTGCTGGCCGATCGAACTTTCTATTTCACCGCATGCGGCATGTGCACAATCGATAGACAAATCTTGACGTCCATCAGCGGTGCCATCGCCACCTACCTAGTTATTTTGATTCAGTTCCAAAAGAGTGACGGATGAACAAAGAAATCAATCAATTGCACTTGCTTTCCCATTTTATTCAATTTGTGCTTTAACTTTCTTGAACAATAAAGTGTCAGATTTCAAACAGATGTTTTTTTTTCAGTGATTTTAATGTGGAATTTAACTATCTTTGCCACTGTTGATCTCTTGGCGTAGTTTAACGCATTCATCGGACGTGTCTTGTTTATCTGCTGGACAGGATTTGAATAACTCGGCTTCAACACAAGAACTTGCTCTCAATACAATGTGACTGCAGCCATTGGTCTCCGGTGATGGTGTTTTCAACTCTTCGGTACATTTCTTTATCGTTTGTTCGGCTACGACTTTTTGATACGGCTCTAAAGCCATTTCATTGATTACGAAATTTCTCAGTCCTTTCTCAATCAAGTTCTTATTGGCGTCAATCTATCGAATGATTTTATGAAGGAAATTGTGATATCAGTGCCAAACGAAATTCGCGGACTTAGCGATTTTGACCAGAATACTTACAACATTTACTTTTCTGCCCACGCATTCAACGACACAAACAAAACCTTCACGTTGCTTATCTTCTGTTTGATCTAAAGAAATAAAAATTTTCTGGTATTTAATTTCTGTTGCCTCGGTAAGATTGTCGACAAAAAGAAGGGGAAAAATACCCACTAGCAAGGTCCAGCTCTTGAATACATTGTTGCATTAATTGCTGCACCTTCTCATCGTACTTGGCTTGACCTTCTGCTCCGATCTTACAACACGTATTTGAATTCATTTCTTTCCCAAACACTATTACTTGAATGATGGCCAAGGAAATGATGAATGCCCACAAATAAATTTTCATTTTTTTCAATTAAATGCACAACAATTTGGCTGGAAATACGAACATCAAATGAACGCCAAATCTCTATTTAAAGAGGATTTTATTTGCATAAAAAACTAGATGACCCTTTTATCATTGAGAAAATGGTGTAATAATTATGTGTTGCATGAACTATAATAACCGAGATTTTGATCAATTACCGCATTGTTTTGAAAAATTGTAAAAGATGCATTGAAACAGGAAACTATGTTTTCAACACATGATATTTCGTGTTTGGATGTAATCATACGTCAAAGTTCGATCATGTAATTCGTTTCCGGAGAATTGAAACAATCAATATTGTAACACGTTTCTCAATGAGATATCATCTGTTTTGATTTCAAATATTCAAATTTCCGGTAAGACAGTATAATGCATTGAATAATTGAATTAAAATTAACTCATACTGCTGGAAATCAATGATATCTTTTGTTTCATCCGTCAATCTACATGTGTTCAATTGGTGGATTTGCATAAGGATGGCTTTAGAAGGGCGCTTCTTATTTGCAACCTAAAATTTCTAGTATGTTTTATCTTCTGAAATATTGGTAAAAATGCTAATGGACAACTAATTCGAAATTATTTCGGTTTTGTTGGAAAATGAAAGGTTGTAAAGAATAATTTCCATTTATGGAGCGTCTAATACCATTGATTTTACATGTAAAATAACAACAAGCAACGACAAAAGTGACCTCTCGTAGCGGCACCGTTGAAACTAACGAAACAAACACAATTGAACATGTCATTTATGTTTTGGTTCCGACTTTGGCGGAAATGGAAAGAGACTATTTCCATCCCATAAAGATCTAGTCGGATTGGACGTAAAATTGCTATATCGAAACTCCATGTCATATCTTGTCTTGTAATTGAATTGTTTACTTGAATATTCCCTACTATGCCCATTAATTCATTTTATTTGATGATTTGGTTTCAGTTAATTAAAGTTAACTCTCAAATCTTAAGCCATTGTTTCAATTAACTCTTTATTAAAAGTTGGTCAGTAAAAATTGCTACTTGAAATGTTCGCGTTCAATATGTGTGTTTTATTTTTCTCCAATTTAAAAAGAAACCTGATGTATTTTAAGCGCAAGAGCACTTTTTGTTAGAATGAATGTGGTGTGAAATCTTGGCGTGATGTCAAGGGTGGCTTCTATTGGGAAATATTTTTTGTGAAATTCCATAAAAAACGGATTAGAAACTTTCAATTTACGTCGTCGTCTTTTGATCATTCTTATGTATCCAATTCATTGTAATGCGCGGAAAGGCTTTTGAACGCATACCATTGCATGAGCTGGAATCACATTGCAACCAGTTGCTTCATGGATTTTGTTGGGAAACATTTCAATGTCACTAATGCATTTCTTCACAACATCTTCAGCCACGGCTCTTTGTGCACCATTCAAAGGCATATCATTTACAAAGTTGCGATATCCATCATGATTCAAATTACCATAACGGTCAATCTGTCGATAGAATTTACATTATTTCGCTACATTTTATTTCCGAAATTCAGTTATTATACCAACCATGTGACTTTTTCTCCCAATACACTCAGCAATGCATACAATTTTGCTACGTTTTACCGCTAACGGTTCATCTGTGTTCGTGAGAAAATGGATTATAAATAGAATGTTCTTGAATTAGTCAAATAAAAAAATTAAACATACTTCGAAGTCCGAGCTCTTGCACACAATCCTCTACCATGTGTAACAGTTTTACATGGAATTCAAGTAGAGTGGATTTTTCCGTTACGTATGTATTCGTTTCAATAAAGTTTGGAGAGCCATATAATTTTGCCAATATCAGTTCTGGATTCACCAAACACAAAATAACAAATATCCAGAAGAAAACCTTCATTTCCAGTTACCAATTTGTATTTTTTGCGAAAACTTTGCTTTATATTGAACGGGAGACAATTGAATTCCACCTCTAATTTTGCTGAAAGTCAAGAGCGAAATGAATATCGAATATTATTCGTATTTGATGAAAAACAAAACATTTTTATTTCCTGACAATAAAAGAAATGATGCGTTGCAATTAAATCATTATTGACACGAAGTACTATTCCAATCATATGTTAAACAGAAAAGAAAAAAAAATAAATGAAAAAAGTCAATGATCGTTGTGAAATCACACCTTCAATCAAATAATGACATGCTATACAGTTTTTTGTCCTAAACCTGATTACCAGTTTTTGTATTTTCAAGCTTCAAAAAAACACATCAATGAAAAGAGAAAAAAAATCTGATATTGGATAAAAAAAATCCCCGGGAACAAAAATTTATAGTATTATTTCTCGCGTTACGTAGAATATAATCGCTAGAAATTGTGGTAGTAATCAATGGAAATAGCTGGGTTTCCAGTTATTCATTGTTCGATTTGTCGTTTTTACGTTGGCTTGCGAAATTATGCCAACACGTGGTATCATTTAGGTGCAATTGGAATGCTAGAATTTGGTTTTTCAAATAAAAACTCCGATTTTTTACTGGTTTTGAATGTCATGTGCTATATTACTTCATTTGATTTGATTCATTTTCTCTATTATATCACATAACTATGTTATGATAAGTTTTTTCGAAATCATTTTGTACCAGTAAAATTATTTAGTCATTCCCGGTTTACTTGGAGACAGTTTGTGGGGATGGCTGTGGTCCTTTCCCTTTGAAATCGCGATTGATAAACTCACGGAAGTGAACACAATGTTCAACGCTGTCTTGCTTATCAGCTGGACATGCATTGATCAACTCTTTTGAAGCGCAGTGAAAAGCTTCCATAGCGGTCTCGCTACACCCATCCGGGCTCTCCTCAGAACCATCTGCTGAATTCACTTTTTCAATACATTTTGTGGCGATTGCATCAGCTACGGCTTTTTGGTAATCTTCCGTGGCCATTTGAGTGGTTATGAAACTGCGATATTTATCTTCGTTCAAACTTTCATCAGCGTTGATCTATTAATTGCAAGAATTCGAATAGCTCGAACACGAAACAATATTTTGCAATAGCTCACCATATTGGTTTTATTTCCGAGACATTCGTGGAAACATGCGAATTTAGGCGGTTTTCCTTGTTCTGGTTCCCCTGTGAATTGAAGTGTACGTATTTATTCGTATGCTTCTTATAACTTTCGAAATGTATAAAATTACCAAGCTCTTGTTTGCACTCATCTTCCAACTTCGTCATACTATCAATGAACTGGGTAGTAGCTGCTGATATTTGAATTTTGCAACACTTAGTATATTCGAAAAGACCTGGTGGCTCATGAGCAGAAGCCAATGCAATCAACAAAGCGCACAACAAAAACTTCATTTTCAGTTTGGTAATTTCAATTTGATTGGAACAACTTTTTGAATGTGTAACTTCACTAATTCAAAAACAGAATGGCTTTACCATCAACAATTCTGGGCGTATTTATACGCGAAATTTTGGAATTGCAATATTAGTATTTGTCATTATTGTCGCGAAAAAAACACAATCATCTAAAACAAAAGCTAAATGATATTTTGCATGACACAGGAATCCTATTTCTCATTTGTATTTCCATCTAATCGATAAAATGAACAAATTGAAGGCTTTGTTTCTATTTAATTCATATTCAAATTCACATTTAATTGCATCGCTCACACCCGTTCGTATCTTTAAATTACATCATCATTATTTATTACTTTTCTTCTAACCAACTTTGTTGGGAAGATTTTTTTTTAAATTACTATCATGCATATTTTCACCAGGATAGCCTTGGTCCTACACAAACAACGACATCATTAGCAAAATGATTTCGTTCAAGAATGGTTCACTCTGAGAGAGAGTACGGTCGTAGATGCACTTGTTCAACATTTTCAAACATTACCATCAATATGTGTGACGTATACTCATTGGGATTATCCTGGTGCATTTGTCATTGGTTTAGATCAGCAAAGCGATTACCATGAAGTAATTACTGTTTTTTTTCGTTGGATTCTCTAAATGCAAACAGTCAAATAAATTCCATTGATTTTATTGTTGTCTTTCATATTTTTTTAACATGCAACACACTTTTATACTTTTGTTATCGGTTTCATAGAATAATTTCCGGCAGAAAATTATTTCGGTACCAAAATGCGAATAAATCGGAATTATAAATATTATTTATTCTTCTTTGGGTTTCTCGCCATTGATTTTTTTACGCATTTCTACACATTTGTCTGAAGTGTCTTGTTTATCAGCTGGGCATGCATTGAACATTTCTTTTCCAATACAGTGCTTCAGTTTCATTGGAATGGAACTGCATTTATCATCGCCTTTAGAACCGTTGTCAGTAGCAGTGTTGGCTCCTGCAATGCATTTTTTGGCAACATCCTCAGCTACAGCCTGTTGATATGGTGCAGTAGCCATCTTTTTAACGTTATTGGTGAATTCAGCCTCATTGATGGTACCGTCGGCATTGAGCTTTGAATGAAATTTTCTTGATGAGTTTAATTCAGAAAAAACTGCGTATTTTCAAACTTTTATAACTTACAACGTTCATTTTCTTGGAAACACACTCCGCAATGCAATGCCATTTGCCAGGTTGTTTCTTGCCTTCTTCCCCGTCTGTGAAAAATAAAACTTTGATTAGTTTGCACGTATTTGTTTTTTGAGTAACGAAATTTTTAAACACGCGTACCGTAGCCCAGCTCTTTTTTACATTCATCAAAAAGCTTCTTCATTGCTTCATGAGCTGTACTGTCAGGTTCCGATTTTTCTGCGTTGCAGCACATATTCGGATCGAATCGGTGTCCACCCCGTTTAGCAACCACTAACGCTTGCATGGTTGCAAAAGATAGAACCAATATGCACAAGAAAATCTTCATTGTTGAACAATTTTTTCAAAGTTATTTATCAGAAAATGAATGAATTTTGAATAGTTTCAAACAACAAATTAATTTAATAACTTTATTCTTAGTTCTGAATTCGCCAAGGAAATGATTCATTGGAATCCAGGAATCGAGTGGTTACTGTGTCGATCTACCGTTCATATTTATAGGAAAAATCCACAATAATGAACATGTAACGACAAAGATTTCATTGATAAATTTTAATCATACGTCTAATTGAAGGTTTCATTCCCATATCTCACGTAATATCCAATTCCAAAAAGTTCAAATTCGTAAACAACACGTGTCATGACACCAAATTATATACTTGACTTGTGCCATTTGATCAAAGTGATTCAATGAGTTTGAAACAATTGAAGCGGCACACCGTTGCATGTTATTGTGGTCGACAGTGTATTGGTTGGCTATTGTTTACCGGTGAAATGGTGTAATGGTTCCTGGTTTACTCTTTGCTAGGCGGAGGGGGTGGTCGTGGTCCCTTTCCCTTGAAATCGCCATTGAAAAACTCACGGAAGTGAACACAATGTTCATCGTTATCTTGCTTATCAGCTGGACATGCATCGATCAACTCTTTTATAGCGCAGTGATTGGCTTTCAAAGCGGTCATGCTACACCCATCCGGGCTCTCCTCAGAACCATCTGCTGATTTTACTTTTTCAATACATTTTGTGGCGGTTGCATCAGCTACGGCTTTTTGGTAATCTTCCGTGGCCATTTGAGTGGTTACGACACTGCGATATTTATCTTCGTTCAAACTTTTATCAGCGTTGATCTATGAATTGTAAGAATTCGAATTAGAAGCTCTTGTTTGCACTCATCTTCCAACTTCGTCATACTTTCGATGTATTGGGTAGTAGCTGCTGATATTTCAAATGTGCAGCACTTGGTATAATCGAAATGGTCTTTCGGCCCATGGGCAGAAGCCAATGCAATCAACAAAGCACACAAGAAAAACTTCATTTTCAGTTTGATTGGAATAACTTTTTGAATGTGTAATTTCACTAATTCAAAAACAGAATGACTTTAACATCAACAAATCGATGGTATTTATACGCAAAATTCTGGAACTGTCTCATTAGGTTTTGTCGTTATTGCCGCAGAAAAATCTTAATTGTCTAAAACAAAAGCTAAATGATGATTTGCATGACACAGGAATCTCATTTTCCATTTGTATTCATATTCATATTTATATTTATTTATGTTTTATCATTAAATGTACATTTTAGTTTTGTAAAGAACGCTGATCACACCAATATGACATAGCTGGCTATATTGCCAGATTTGAATGAGAATGAAAATGTCAGTTGTTCCAATGTGCTAGAAGTCTTCAAGTCTCAAATTGAGACTCTCAATATAATATGCTGCACAATGTCGATGGAATTTCATTTATTTCATCATTGCCGTTTGAATTTGAAATCTATATATATATACATATATAAAACTGAATGTCCGTCTGTCTGTCTGTCCTACATTTTTTATTTTCACGGTTTTGTTAATGAATATGCCGTCCGAATTCTAGCGGTTTAAATAAGAAATAGACTTATTATTGCAATGTTGTTATAACTCAGATTTTACAAGTTTGAAAAAAAAACTTATGCTTTTGATTACTATGTGTGTAAAGGTAATCTGAATTATTCTTTAAAAATAAATGAATAAAAGAATGTATTCGTGTAAAATCAATTCCAGAAAGGGGAGCAACTTTCCCAGAAAATCGTCTTTGGCTTTGAAAAAACAAGTATTGAACATACGAGATGGATATAGAGATGAGTAGCGCTTTTTTTATTATTAACGTCGTGCAAAGTGAATTGAACTGAAACGATGATGGTTACAATTTACAAGAGGTGATGGTTAATAGACGGACGGATAATCGAGATCGTACTGTATATTTTCAGAATGCGCAGGGATAGTAAATTTTTATATTCCAAATTCCATAAAGATTTAAATTAAATTTAAGATAGACTAACATTCAATTTCGGGGAGTCGCGAAGCGAGTTCATTCGAAGTCCCATGAAATTTCAATCACATTGACACTAACTGCTATAAGACTATTCGTCAACTGAGATTCTTTGTGGCTTGAGAAAAGAGTAGAAAAAGAGATAAAATAAAGAAATTGAAGTCTTTGTTTCTATTCAATTTATATTCACATTCACATTTGATTACATCGTTGACATTTGATTGGGGTCGGTTATCAAAGTGAACTCATGGAAATAACATACATTTACCGAAATTTTGGCTATCAAAAGAACCATTAGGTTCTACATCCCATTTTACTACAACATATTTGGAATGTATATTCAAATTGTTGATTCAAATTGTTGGTGTTAGCAAAGTGTGATTTTCAAAAAACCACCAAGTCAAACTAACCATGCATCCATCTTCTTTGGAATGAATTCCTCAACGGTTATCCACATTAGTGTATTTTTGACTGAAATAGTCATCTGCCCACGTGCAAGTCAAGCATCAAAAAATCTCATAGAGACAAAAAAATCCGGATCGTGAATGGCCAAAAAACAGCAGATTAGATGTGGATTGGCAAATTAAACAATTAACGTTAGTTTCAAATATTTCATACAACACCTGTTAGTAAGCTTGTGTCATCTGTTTACCTACTAGTTGTTACCTATCATCCAGTCAAGCGTGTCGTTAATTTTTGGGTACTTCACAAATGGTGAATCATCATATATGACGAACATAGTTCAGTCACGGCGTTGATGATGATATTACATCGTCATAAATGCCACATTGGCTCCTGTTCATACCTCCAAATTACATCATTATTGTTCTTCTTCAAATCAACTTTGTTGGGAAAAGTATTCTTTTCAATCAATTTCATTCATGGAAAATGAAATTCGTTCAAGAATGTTTTGCTCCGGAAGAGACAGACAGACAGACAGAGGGAGAAAGAGAGAGAGAGAGCACGGTTGCAGACGCACCTGTTCAACGTTGTGGAACATTGAGCATGTTATTGATTTAGATCAGCAAAACGATTACAATGTAGTAATTATTGTTTCATTTTCATTGAATTCTCTAAACAAGTGATGCAAACAATCAAATAATTTCCATTGAATTTATTATTGTCGTTTATATTTTTTGAAATGCAACATACGTGTATATTTTATTTGTTGTTTCTGTTCCATCAGAATGTCATTGCTAATCAATCGGAGTTATAAATATTCTTTATTCTTCTTTGGGTTTCTCACCATTGGTTATTTTACGCAATTCTACACATTGGTCAGAGGTATCTTGCTTGTCAGCTGGGCATGCATTGAACATTTCTTTTCCAACGCAGTACTTCATTTTCATTGCAGTGAAGCTGCATTCATTATCACCCTTAGCACCATTGTCAATAGCAGTCTTGGCTCCTGCAATGCATTTTTTGGCAATATCCTCAGCTACAGCCTTTTGATAATCTCCAGAAGCGAACTTTTTCACGGAATCGGTGAATTCAGTTTCATTGATGTTACCGTTGGCATCGATCTTTCAATGAAATTTGTTTGATGAGTTTAGTTTAATCAGGAAGAACGGAAAATTTTCAAACTTTTATAACTTACAACGTTCATTTTCTTGGAAATACATTCCATCATGCAAGCATATTTGCCAATATGAAACTTTCCTTCTTTCATCTCTATGAAAATAATCCTTTGATTCATTAGTTTACAAGTATTGGTTTTTTGAGTAACGAAATTGTTAAACACGCGTACCGGAACCCAGCTCTTTTTTACATCCACCAAGAGCCTCCTTCAATGCTTCATGAGCTGCGCTGTCAGGTTCCGATTTTTCAGCGTTGCAGCACATATTTGCATCAAACGGACCCCGTTTATCAGCAACCACCAACTCTTGCATGGTTGCGAAAGATAGAACCAATATGCACAAGAAAAACTTCATTTTTGACGATTTTTCTAGTTAGTTTTTAGGAACTGATTGAATATGAACTTGCTTGAAATTCACGAATCGAATGGTTTCAGTGCTAATGCATCGTTCTTATTAATAAAGAAAATCCACAATGATGAACATGTAACGAAAATTATTTCATTAATTTTAATCATTATTAGATATAGTTTAATTGAAGGTTCCACTCCCTTATCTCACGTAATATCCAATTCCAAAAAAATTCAAATACAACACGTGTTATGATACCCAATTATATACTTGACTTGTATCATTTGATTAAAGTGATTCTATGAATTTGAAACGATTGAAGCGGCACACCGTTTCGGACCAGAAAAATTCGATGTTATCAGGTTGCATTTCAATATTTCCGACATATTTTTTGATTTGTTGAATTATCCAGTAGTCAACTTCTTAAAAAATAAATAATTCATAGCTTTTCCAGAACAAAAACACGCATTTATTTCAATTTAGAACAACCAGGGTTTTATCTGCAGAATAGATTCTGTTTTCGAAAAAAGTGCTACATTTCCGGATGATTATAACGAGAGGATACGATTGGATTTACGTATATTGTTGCATGTTATTACGGTCGACAGTGTATTGGTTGGCTTTTGTTTACCGGTGAATTGGTGTAATGATGGCTGATTTACTCTTTGCTAGGCGGAGGGGATGGTCGTGGTCCCTTTCCCTTCAAATCGCCATTGATAAACTCACGGAAGTGAACACAATGTTCGTCGTTATCTTGCTTATCAGCTGGACATGCATTGATCAACTCTTTTGAAGCGCAGTGATTGGCTTTCAAAGCTGTTTTGCTACACTCATCCGGGCTCTCCTCAGAACCATCTGCTGATTTTACTTTTTCAATACATTTTGTAGCGATTGCATCAGCTACGGCTTTTTGGTAATCTTCCGTGGCCATTTGAGTGGTTACGACAATGCGATATTTATCTTCGTTCAAACTTTTATCAGCGTTGATCTATGAATTGCAAGAATTCGAATTGGAAAATGAAAATTTGGCGCCAATTAATTGGCATTTGGGTGGCTATGTTCAAACAAGGAAAAATATTTTGTAATAACTTACGATATTGGTTTTATTTCCGAGGCATTCGTGGAAACATGCAATTCTGGGTGGCTTTCCTTGTTCTGGTTCGCCTGTAAATAAAAGTGTACGTATTTATTCGTTTGCTTTTTAAATACGTCAGAATGTATAAAATTACCAAGCTCTTGTCTGCACTCATCTGCTAACTTCATCATACTTTCGATGTATTGAGTAGTATCTGCTGATTTTTCAATTTTGCAGCACTTGGTATAATCGAAATGGTCTTTCGGCCCATGGGCAGAAGCCAACGCAATCAACAAAACGCACAAGAAAAACTTCATTTTCAGTTATTTTTAACCAATATTCAATTTGAATAGAACTTTTCGAATGTTCAACTTCACTTGAATTGGTGAACAGAATGGCTTTACCATCGAAAAATTCGTGAGTATTTATACCGTTCTGAAGGTCGCGAAAAATGGTCAATTATCTAAAAAATGCTAAATGATGTTTTGCATGAGAGACGAGCCGTGAACCGCATTTGTAGTTTCGTCTAATCCAGAAAATAAACATATTGAATACCTTGTTTCTATTCAATTTGGTTTTAAATTTACAATCTTTTTTGTTATCTCATTCAGGGGTCAGTTTTTAATGAACTCATGCAAAAATTTTGAAGTAACAATCATCGGACTATTAGGCATCAAGAAGACTGTTAAGTTTAATATTTCCCCATTTTATTGCAAGATTTTGATATGTATTTTTTATCATGATTTCAAGCAGATCAATTTGAATAAAATTGGGTGACCATGAAGGCAACTAAAATGTGATTTTCAAAAAACCACAACGTCAAACTGATCATGCAACCTCTTTGGAATGAAATCCTCAATGTTTAATCCACATTAGTGTTTTTCTCACTGAAATGGTCATCTGCACACGTGCAAGTTAAGCATCAACAAATCTCATAGAGACAAAAAATCGCAGTGGTGAAAGCCCAAAAAATAGTAGATTAGATTTGAATTGGCAAATTAAGCAATTATCTTTAATTTCAAACAATTCATACAAAACCTGTTTGTGAGCTTGTGTCACCTGTTCACTAGCTACTTGTTACCTATCATCCAGTCAAGCGTGTCGTTAATTTGTGGGTATCTTACTAATAATAAATCGTCATATATGACAAAAATAATTTAGCCGCTGAGTTGATTCCAATACTAATAAGAGCAATCAGAAAAAAAGCGCCAGTTCGTGCCCTAAAATCACATCATTATTATTTTTCTTCAAACAAACTTTGTTGGTATAAATGCTGTATCAATTAATCTTGTGCATGTTTTATTGGTTTAGATCATCAAAGCGATTACAATGTAGTAATTACTGTTTTTTTTCTCATTGAATTCTCTAAACAAGTGTTGCAAACAATCAAATAATTTCCATTAAATCTGTCATTTGAATTTGTCAAAAACACATTTATATTTTTGTTGATGGTGCCATTGAATCAATCCGGTCGTAATTTATAGTAGAATGCCATTGCAAATCAGTCAGAATTTTACACTTTATTCATTATTCTCGCTGGATCCTTCTGGTCCTTTGCCAGGTGGTGGTGGTGGTGGACCATTCCGGGGTTTGTTGATGTGCTCACGCATTTTTACACATTTGTCCGAGGTATCTTGCTTATCAGCTGGGCATGAATTGATAAGTTCCCTTCCAACGCAGTGATTCAATTTCATTGGCATGAAGTTGCATTTACTATCTTTAGGACCGTTGTCAGTAGCAGTTTTGGCTTCTGCAATGCATTTTTTGGCAACATCCTCAGCTACAGCCTGTTGATATGATGCAGTAGCCATCTTTTTCACGTTATTGGTGAATTCAGCCTCATTGATGGTACCGTCGGCATTGATCTTTAAATGAAATGGATTTGATGAGTTTGATTTAATCAGGAAAAACTGAGAATTCCCGAACTTTTATAACTTACAACATTCAATTTCTTAGAAACACACTCAATGATGCAATGGAATGGTTCATGTTTTTTCTTACCTTCCTCTCCGTCTGTGAAAATAAAATTTTGAATAATTAGTTTGCAAGTATTGGTTTTTTTTAGTAACTCAATCCTTGAAACACGTACCGATGCCAAGTTCTTTTTTACATTCATCCAAAAGTTTCATCATTGCTTCATGAGTTGCGCTGTCAGGTTCGGAATTTTCAACTTTGCAGCACATATTTGGATCAAACGGACCACGTTTAGCAACCACCAACTCTTGCATGGTTGCAAAAGATAGAACCAAAATGCACAAGAAAAACTTCATTTTTGACGATTTTTCTGGTCAGTTGACTGAATTTGAATAATTTCAAACAAAAAATTAATCCAATAACTTTATTCTGAATTCTGAATTCGCCAAGAAAATACTTGATTGGAATCCAAGAATCGAATGATTTCAGTGTCGAGCTACCGTTCATATTTATAGGGAAAATGCTGCTGATGAGCTTGTGACGAAAATTATTTAATTGATAAATTGTGATTCAACAATGTACATCCGATTCCCTTATCTCACGTGATATCATTCAAATATGTAAGCAATATTCATAACAACTTGTTGACAACAGCACATGTTATGGCACAAAATTATATATTTGATATACGTGTCATTTGATCTAAGTGATGGCATTTTATTTCGCATTCAATAAATTTGAAACAATTTAAATGGCAAGCTTTTTCTAGTCCGATGTTATCAGGCTGCGTTTCAATATTTCCGATATTTTCTCGGTTTAATGACAAATCTAGTGGTCAAATGGCCATAAAGCAAATAATTTGTGACTTTTTTAAAACAAAAACATGCATCAATTTCAAGTTAAAACAAAAATTCCCCAACGGTGAATTTATTTACATAATAAACTCAATTTCCAAAAGACATTTGGATTTCCGGACATTTTTTTACGAG